TTTAAAATGACAATTTTTTATATTCTTTAAATTTAAAAACACTTGTTTTATTTCACCAATATACTGTATACTCAAAATCTGCACGACAGATGTCAGGTTTGCTCCTGGGCTGCAAAAATAATGACCTTTGATCAAACACTGGATAAGCCCTCAGCAATGAATGACAACCAAAGCAAAGACATAAAAACATGAATCATCAAAAACACAGCCTCCTGAATACACTGTGTGATGTCATGCATATCCAATGGCAACCAGTATAAGCAAACTAAATATTCATAAACAACCAATGCACTCTAATACATGCTGTTATATTTACAGTACATCTACAGTACACTTAAAAGGACAGTTCATCCTTAAAATAAATAATAAAAATAAAAATGTTGTCGTCTCACTGAGCCCTAAAGGAAACCTAAAATCTGATATGCGGATTATTTGCAAATGCATCACAGATTAAAATGAAATATAAAACAATAAAAAAAAAATTGTTCTAAAATGCATCAAAAATAAGTCTCAATGAGTTTAAAATGGATCAATAATTAGTCTAATATGAGACTAATATGCATCAAAAATGAGTCTTAAATGCATCAAAGCTTAATGTGAGTCTAAAACACATCAAAAATGCTTCAAAAATGAGTCTACAATAAGTTTAAAATAAATTAAAAAATTGTCTAAAATACATCAAAAATTAGTCTTAAATGCATCAAAAATGAGTCTTAAATGCATCAAAACTTAATGTGAGTCTAAAACGCATCAAAAATTATTCTAAAATGCATTAAAAATGAGTCTACAATGAGTTTAAAATACATCAATAATTAGAAGAATATAAGACTAATATGCATCAAAAATGAGTCTAAAATGCATCAAAAATGCACTATTTTGATGCCGCCAATGTTAGATGTCCATTTGATGTCATTTTGAAAACAAGGAAGCATTGGGAATACATTACATGCATTAGAGAATACATTACATATAGAAAATAAAGTGTCATTTGTAATTGAAAGCTGTCAGATGAAAAAAATCTGTTCTTGTATTTAAATATTTTTGTGTCGTTATTTTGGTGGTCAAAAGGCCATCAATGCATGGATGTCAAATGGACGTGAAGGTTTGGCATCAAATCGATTTGCATTTTTGACTTGTTTTTGATGTAGTTTTGACATTATGATAGTTCACACGCATTAGGGATACAAAATAAAGTGTCATTTGTAATTGAAAGATTTCAGATGAATAAATCTGTTCTTGTATTATAGTATTTTTGTGTATTTTGGTGGTCAAAAGACCATCAATAGGGGGGATGTCAAATAGACGTCAAGGTTTGGCATCAAACTGATTACCATTTTTATAATTTGATTATCCTTCAGTTTATTTGGTTTTATCCATTCATCACCAGGATGTTTTTAATCATTTGAAACAGAATCAAATTTAATATGATTACTTTCCAGTGGGCACCTTGATGTCTAAATTACATTAAAAAAACATCAAAAATGTGTCAAAAATCGATTTGATGTCCAAATGACATCAAATTGACATCTAAAATTGGCATCAACATGTCAAAATGTGTTTACAGGGCTGTCCTGTGATCAATTTTTTATTTGTTTTTGAAGACAATTTTAGATGTTCATTTGATGTAATTTTAACAACACGGTAGTCAATTGACATCAAATTGATATCTAAAATTGATTGATTCTCATTCATTGTTATTTAAATGTGTTATGCCTTGACTATCCTTCAAATTATTTGGATTTATATATATATATATATATATATATATATATATATATATATATATATATATATATATATATATATATATATATATATATATATATATATATATATATA